TTATACAATACCTGATAAACAGAGCACAGACAATAACACAGACGAAGGACTTTAACTCCAAGAAATAGGAAGAACACGTTACCTTGGGAGAGCCTGATAGACATTCTAAATATGACTTTTGGACATTCGTCAAGGGCTCTGCCGTCCTTCAGGGGCCGGGTGACCGATATTTATGTTGAGGAAGTGGTCGAGATTTCTCAACTGCCAATTATTTATGTCATCCAGAAATTTAGAAAATTTTAAGTCCCTCAAAATGTGTAAATTCAATGAACCATTCAAAGTAGAACCTTTATGTGGCTATTTCTCTTTTTTATATCTTCCACCCAGCCATGATATAAAATTCACCCCCCTCTCTCTCATTGAGTCGGGGGACTCGATGGCATCTCACGAGAATGACAACAACAACATGATGTTACCTATTGGTCCATTACATAGAGTGTGGTTTTCTTTTGAGTTGTGAATTAGGGAAGCCCTTTCTGAGATTGGATCAGAAACTTTATTTTTTCTGAACAGCGTCTTTTTTGGCACTTCATTCCCTTACCATACAACTTAAAAGTTCAACCATATCACAAAGAGTTGTACAATCTTTACCAATATTCATTTAGAAAATTTTCTTTTCCTCTGTACTCACTGCTATTCATATATTTTTCAAAATTGATAAAAACACAACAAAACAGTCACCAATGTGACAACTTCTTCATGTATAATTCCGTGTCATTGGCTATATTCTTCATGTTGTACAAACATCATTGTTACCTCTCTCCAAACTGTTCCACCACCATTAAAATTAACGCAATGCCCCTAAGCAAAAACTCTTCCTTCTTCACCCATGAGTAACCATAGGTCAAGTGTGTTGGTTTCTTTTTTTTTTTAAGTAGTTTTCATGATATAATATTCACATACCATGAACTTCCCTAGTTAAACCGCTTCTAAAAAGAGTCATACATACATTATTGCAATCAGTTCTAGTCCTCTCTCCCTCATCCCACAACCATTGATTGTTTCCCAATTGCCCTTCCCTCCTCATCCCCCTGCCCTTCCTGAAAAACCATCGTATCAGTTATTGTCTCTATGCATCTACCCCTTCTGTGCTTCCTAAACTGGGAGGCCTAACAGAAATAATAATAAGGCAAAAAACAGAAAAAAGAAAACAATAACAACGATACTATAAAGATAAAAATAAGGAGTAAGAAAAAACCACCAACAATATTTAAAAAGTCAGAGATGAAATTTCTTTCTGGGAACAATGGAGAAATTTCTGAGCATGGAGCAAATTCAGGTTGGGTCATGAGGGAGGTCCACTGACCAAGTATCCTATTACAGCCTGGTTCCACCATCACCAAGTTTCAATAACCTCTGTCTGGCAGTAAGGCTGTTTGAGTCCCTCACCCGTGACTAGAGATCTGCCACAGGCCCAATCTGACCAGACACTCTGCAGATGGGTTTTGGGTTTCCACTGTCCTCCATAGCCTTTTACAAATTAGGTGTTCACAATTTAATCTCTGATACTTTTCCCTTCATCAATTTGGATTTTTAAATTATGATCTTTGGATCACACAGGCTGGTGTGCTTCTTCCCTGTGGACTTCGTTGATGCCTCACTCAGATGGCTGCTTGTTTGACTACAAGCCTTTAATAGCCCAGACATTATTCCAATTGGCATCCAGGCACAATCTGCTTTCTTCCCCACACTTCTTGTAGCACCATGTCTTCAGTGATCTCTTTGTGAAGGCAAGAATCAAGCAGGCCCATGTAATAAGAACTAACTGTTCTTGGATTAGGGCTAGACTTATGGGGGAGGCCAGAATCCATCTGCCTGTCCCCAGGTTATGAATGACTGGTTTACTTTGGCAGTCATATTATGACAAAAACCAAACCAAACCAGACCAATAACAACAACAAAAACAAACAAACAAACAAACAAAAATGACCTTCCAAAAACAAAAGAAACCTTAAAAATAAAACATTGTCAAATCATTCTCTTAGGGTATAAGGTGATGAGTAGAGACTTTAATGAATAATTATATTTCATTGTATTTTACAATGATTTATTGAACACCTTTGGAAAATGCATATATAAGATTTTATATATTAATGATATAGGTAATATATATATACTAATACTAAAATTAGAGATAGATTACAAACGATGAAAATAACATTTATAATACAATCAAAATGCAATTGATTTAGAGGAAGGTCGCTAATATTTCAATCAAGGGATATATACTGAAGTGACATTTGAATTAGGATAGAGAAGAAGGCTTTTTTATTAAGCAAGGAAGAAAATAAAGAGTGATCTGGTTAAGTAAATAACTAGACTAAGAGAAAAATGTGTGTGTGTGTGTGTGTGTGTTGTGTGTTTAGAAGCAGAGATAGAGGGAGCTTGCCTATTCCTTCAACTGTGAGGATTTTGGTCGTCCTATACTCTACAGTGTAAACCGAGAAAAGATAACAGTTGTCAAGGATTTCATTGACTATGCTTCGATTCATAGTCAATGCTCATGGAAGCAGCAGTCAAGAGATCAAACAAGACATTGCATTGGGCAAATCTGTTTAACAAGACCTCTTTACAGTGTTGAAAAGCAGGTGGGTTACTTTAAGGACTAAGGTACTGCCTCGTGTGTGTGAAAGTTGGCCATTCAATAAGGAAGACTGAAGAAGAATCAACACATTTGAAGTGTGATGCTGGTAAAGGATATGAAAAGTTTCATGAACTATCCAGGAACAAACACATTTGTCTTGGAAGACTTACAGCTAGAATGCTCCCTAGGGGCAAGGATCACAAGACTCTCTTCTCATGTATTTTGGACGTGTCCTCAGGAGAAACCAGTCCCTGGAGAAGGACATCATGCTTGGTAAAGTAGAGGGGTGGCAAAAAAAGCAGAAGACCCTCAACAGGATGGATTGACAGAATGGCTGCTACAGTGGGCTCAAGCACAGGAGCCACTGTGAGCACAGCGCAGGGCTGCGCGGTGTCTCGGTCTGTTTACACAGGGCTGCTGTGAGTCGAAACGGACTCAACGGGCACCTAACCACCACCACCACCACGTTGGGAAACCAGCGCTTGCCCACTGTCATTCTTTAGCTCAGTTTCATTTTTATTCACAGCACACATCATCCTGGACATCGTAGGTATTGGTTTATTGCCTGTGTCCTCCACCACAATGTATGACCGATGAAGACAGGGACATTGTCCATTTACTGGTTATCCCAGTGGCCAGAGCTGTGCCGAGTTGGGAGGAGTAGTTGAATGAATTGATGTAGGGACAGAAATACCAACTTGCATATAGCAAGATACTGAGGACAACAATTTGAGTTCTTGTCATCATAGCGCAAGTCATTAAACCTCGAGAGGGCCCAGTTTCCTATAAAATCAACATGGCTACAGGGTTTCTGATGTTCTTTCAAATGTCATTCCTCTTGGAGTAAAAAGTGGAAGAAGCAAGGGGAGAGAAGGCTTCAGGCCAGATTAAAGTGGGTCGTGACAGGACAGCACGCCAGCCCATAGAGGTGGGAAAGATGACAAGGGAAGGGGAGGGTAGCTTGTTAAGAATGCCCCAGCATCGGGGGCTGACTGATGAAAGGCAGCTGGCTCAACCATCAGCATCCTTTTCTATCACAAGCAGCTCTGGGTTGGACGTGTGTCCAACCGTGTGGGCAGGTCAAAGGAGGGGGCAAGGCCACACTTGAGACTGTGGTTTTGGTGACAAGTACACTAACCAAATAAATGTCCTGGAGGGAAAAAAAAAAAGAAAAAAGAGTGCCCCTGAGAGATGCTGAATGGGAAAGAGGGGGCTCCCAGGAAGCGGAAAGGGAAAAAAAGGAGGTGGAAGGGTGGTTAGCTCCATATAGTTGCATTTTTGCTTCCCCTGGGGGTGGGGGGGCATACAGCTGTGAGATGGTCAGCATCTGATTAAATGTACCAGCCACATGGGTGAGGTTTTATACAAAGAACTACATTAGCTCAACTACAAAAAGCTCTTCCTAATCACACCCTCCTCCCCCCACCCCCACCCCCATCTCTATCTCTTCTAGTTGAAATCCCACAGGATTCCACACATTTCTTTGGAGAATATCTCTTGGTGTTAACATTGCAAGCTTCTGCCCTAGGGCTAACTCTTGTTGCCCCGCCCAGGCTCCTCCCCGAGGCGTGATGTCCAAAGCACTGTCCATCTTTGCTTTCCTGCATCGGCTTAGTTCACTACCCAGCTACACGTGCACTTACACATCCATGAGCACATCTCATGCTTATAGACAGTACTCAGATGTTACACCCATACAGGGAAAGTCCCAGTTCTAAATTTATATTAAAGCTCAAGGCTGGTTTTGAAAGGAGAAACTGATCCCTGGCGGAAGCTTTAACACATCCCACATTTACAACCAGAGAAATTAAGAGAGGATCATCTAGATTCTGGCTGTCACTAGAATTTACAAAAATAAACTAACAAAACCCAAAACAGCCCAATACCGAGAGCAAACACCTTGGAAATGAGCTCCAAAACTTCATGTGTTTCTAGTACACGGGCAAAGACGCCCTCCTCTTGGCAACAATGACTGTCTTGCCTTCCAAAAAGGTGCCCACGAAGCGCACTGCTCGGTTGAAGCACCAGGGAGAGGCCACAGGCTGAGCCCAGCAAGCCAGAATGTGGGACAGCTCCCCAAGCTGTTTCCGCAGAGAGAAGACAAGGCGGTCCACGAGTCTTGGAGGAGCAGTGCCTTCTCCTGCAAAACCGAGCAGCAATAGTCAGTCCCAATTACACCTTTAGGGCCCGCGATGCGCCACCCTCAGCACAGACGGACCGCCCTCCACGCAGGCGCACTGGAGTGGCGGAGCTGGGAGGTGGACCCGAGTGGCGGGGCGGGGCGGGGCGAGTGGTGGGCGTGGCCTGTCAGGGCTGTGGGCGGGGCGGGCTCGCGCAGGCTGGGCCAGCGCCCAGTAGGGCAGGGCCCTGGCGGGGCGGGGCAGGTGGAGTTTCCGTTGCTCGGAGCAGTTTAAGAGCAGCTGTTCTGTGTCCTCTCCGGCCACATCTCAGCCTAGCCCCGAGTGACACAGCCGCCCAGCGGGATTCTCTGCGTCCACCTGGTCCTCAGCATCTGGGTCCCTCTGACTAGGTGAGGACTGACTAGCTCGGGAGGAAGCTTTCTCCAGAGTGGGGCTCAAGGGCGCTGGGCGCTGGTCCAGCCCCGGCGAGCGGCCAAGTGCGCCCCTACTCGCGGAGAGGGCGACCCCACCCTGTGCGCTCGGAGCTCGGCGCGGAGTTTAGGGGCGCTGCCCCGCAGACCCGCTCTCTGGGGAGGGGCAGGGTCGTGGGGAGGGCTTGCTGAGCCAGCGCCGTGCTCTCCCCTCTCTTGCAGATTTCCATCCCCTTCGGACCGGAGCAGTCGCCATGGCACAGGTAAGGCCCGCGGCCTGCGCCGCGCTCGAATTTAGACCAGTAACGAATCCTCGACAAACGAGTGCAAGAATTGTTTGAACAAAGAAAGGCTTAGGAGTGGAGGAATCCACCATCGGAAAGCCTTGTGTACATTTCTAATTTCTCCTATGTTTGCCCTTTCCGTCCCCCACCCTTCCCGCGGGACCCTTGCGCCCCCTGAGCCCCCGCGCAGCGTCGCTGGGGCCGGCCTCGCACTGGGAAGCTCGGATCCTGAGCGGCACCCGGTGACGTGGCCGGAGTTTAGTGCACTCCCTTTTCTTGAGTGAATGTGTGCAAGCGGGCCCTCCCCCAAATCCGAAGAGTCTCTAAAATTAGAACTAGAGCAGGAACAGCGCATTGTGGTTCTGGGAGGCGAAGGCACATTTTCTTCTCAGCTTCCTTTTATTTTTCAGCCAAGTTTCCTGTATTTTAATACTGTGGGTGGGCACTGGCTTTTTCCAGTCGCTCGGCCCGATTTTATCGAAATTGTTGTTTTTTTCTTTCCTCCTTCTTCTTTTCTTTCACGCAGTTGATTAAAAAGAAGAGCTGCCTTTCTTAAGTCGTGAACTCGTGGAACAAGTTCTGAAATCATCTTGGGACGATTTCAGAAGTTGATTCGTCTTGGGACGATTTCAGAAGTTGATTGCCTAAGATTGGCTCTCTGCTCTTTTTCTTATTTATTAAAAGTGTAGGATGGCTATTCTCGCTTTGTTACATATATATGTATATATACATGTATATATATATATTTATATATATATTAAGGTGACCAGATTTAAATCGGGACACCATTGACGGGGGTGGGGTGTGGGGGTGTGTTCTTGATTAAAAGCTTGGTCTATATGGACCAAATAGTCCATTCCGTAGCTTGTCGTGCATTCTTTCCAAAAATCGGGACGTCTGGTCACCTTAATATATATATATAACACTGCCACTTCAACTCATGGTGACTCCTAACTCGATAGAATTTTCTGATAGGGATTTCCTACCGGTGGGTCACTGAGCATTTCCTCTGAGGCTTCTCTGCGTGGACTGCTGGGTAGCCCCTGGGGAGGGAACTGTTGACCACCCCAAACTACTTTAATGCATGTGAAGGTGAACAAACGCCAAACTACCCAACCCCCTTGCTGTACAGTTGATTCCAAATCACAGAGTCCTTGTAGGGCCTAGTAGAACAAGCGGCTCCACAGAGTGCGCTGTGAGCTTCTCGATGTCGCCTGCCTTCGGAGGCACCTTTGGGTGAGTTCGAGCCGTCAGACTTCGGTTGGTAGTTTGGCATGTAGTATTCCAGCACATTATTATTGCTTGTGTCCATGGTGGGACCCAGTGGTTTAAAAAAAAGAAGAAAAACCAAAATCCCTCAAACACCCCAAACTAATTTGACCAATCTTGTCAGTCTCCCTGGCTTGTTATAGTCCAGATAATTAACAAACGAAACAGAAAACCAAGTGTTTTAACTGCCTAAACAATGCCCTCTCTCATTTGTGGTTCCCTTTTTATCAGATTGCCTAATTGAAGCTGAATAAACTTTCCTAGTCGTTTCCAGGAGAAAGTGGAAGGATTAAGTTGAGTTGGTAACTTTATTAAATTTATACAGTATGTCCATTCTTCCCTCCTCACTCACACTTACAAAATCTTAACAATGTATCAATTCTCGTATTACTTCAAATGGAAACTTTAATTTAGGCCCCACACCCCACCCATATTTAAAGGATACTTTTATGTGGAACTAACTTTCCTTTCCGCCCTGATATCCTGGTGTGGTGAGGCCCACTAGCAAACATTAAAGAATGATTCCAAAACCTCACCCCCAACTTGTCTGTTTCTTCAGTCTCTTTTTGTGAATTAACCCTGTGAGGTTTGAGGTTTTACACTCAATCCCTCTTAATTATGTAGACTATTTACCAAATCTAATATTTGAAAAGATACTGATATTTTAAAAGAATGTGTTTTCTAACTGTGGACTTTAATTTTAATAATTAAAAAAGCAAGTTAATCGACCCTTAAATATGCCGGACTTAAAGCTGTGTATCTGGTCTCCATCACAACACAACACTAGGACTGTTTTCTGGCCAAAGCACAGTTTTTAGTAAAACATTCCGAGTAAAGTGAGCAAAGATACAATGTGGAATTTTGTTTTAGCTTTGTAGCTAGTTTTCCAGGGAAACCTTGGAAGAACAACATTTTGTTAAAATATTTCATTCTAAGGCAGAGTTTTACTTAGCATTTGTTGATGTAAGTAAAATGCCTCGCTAAAGGAATTGTACTTTTGCTGCCTAAAATTTACCTCCAACTTCAGTGCGGTTGTAGGATTGCTGGCTGGAGTAGCTTCCATTTTCTGTTTCAAGAAAGCATCCGCTGACCCGTTGGTATGGGAACCAGAGGCCTCTGTTATGGAGCAAAGTGGAAACAGATTTCTGACTGAGCTGTGCATCTTTGAGCAATTTAATGTATTAGTTAATCATTAATGTCTCTCATTTATTGAAAAATTAAAATGTCACATTCCATGACAGTAATCTTCATGCTTACACACTGTATCTTCTACAATAAGGTTTTATCCTTACTTATGTTTATAACACTGTTTATAGCATTCAACAAAATTCTGGGAGCTCATTGTCATAGAAGCAGATGGCAGACATGACCTGCTTGTCAGGAATTTAACCAGAAAACATTGGTCCACTGATATTTGATACATTTAATAGAGTATCTTATCAAAATAGGTTTTTTCAGTGATATTTTATATGCACTCATATTTGTCTTAATATTTACATTTAAAATGCATATTATGCTAATATCATTTTCTCCAGTTAAATGTTACCCTAATCATGTCCGGTTTGGGAGGTGAAGCTCTGGCAAAAGAGAGGGTACTGGAACTTGATAACAGATGACTTACATTCCTCTTAGCAGTGGACCAAGTATTGGGCTGCTTACAGTTAAAGAGGTAGGCTGCTCTTTCTTGGGAAGATTTACAGTCTTGGAAACCCCAAGAAGCAGTTCTACTCTGTCTTAAGAGTGTCACCCTGAGTCCTAATTTACTCTATGGCAGTGGGTTTTTTTGTTATTTGTTTGGGAAATGCAGTCACAGCAGTTGGCATATGAGGAGTAACCACCACTTGTTTGTCTTTTGTGGTCCTAATCCTAGTCTATTAGCATTGAAATATGTGGGATTCTAGCAATTGGTTGAGGTGATGTAGACACACAGTTTAATGGGAGGTTGCCCAGTTTCCCTCAAAGGGAACATAATGATTAGCTGTTATCTCTTCAGTTATATACAAGGGGACTTCAAAAGATTTGTTGAAAATAAAATATGATGGAAGTTTTCCATGCCATGAAATTTTTGAAGTGTTCTCATACAAAGCACATTTAAATCAATTTTCTAAGTTAGATTTATGCATGTAATCAATTCCTGGACAATGTTTACTTTTTGTATGTTTGGAACCATTCGTGGATTTTAGCATAACATTTGTTAAATGCATAATGAAATATTGTGGTTTTTCAATCAACTTTTTCTGGTTTTTTATACTTAGGTTGTTGTTGGAAACTAGTTCAACCTGGTTCAAGTTATTTTTTAAAGAATGTCTAAAGAGCTGTGGACAAGTGCTATGAATCCTTTCCACTTGCTTTCTGTAGTTAATGTGTAATTATATAAATTGGATGTTTCATTAGGTTGAAGGGTCATTTTCTGAACTTGACCATATCTTTCCTGCTGGGTTTTAAAAATTAGGTTCCGAGATGTTTCTCTCTTACTGTTTAACTTGATCATGTTGATTTTCCACCCCACTATTTAGCTGGAGCCAATTTGTTTTAGTTCCAGTAAATTATTGTAGTTAAGTACTTCAAATTAAATGGGCCTGTGTTCCTTGAGTTTGACTGTATTTCGTAGATGAAAATTTCATTTTATGAGTTTTAATTCATTTAAGGTCTGTATAGCTTTCATTTTTGTTTGGATAATGAAACTTACAAAATTGTGCAGCTGAATTTAATTTAATTTATAATGTTTATAAAAAGTTAACATATCAAAAAAACCCAAAAGAATCATATTGTTGAGAATGAAGGGGGTTGGAGCAGAGACCCCAAATCCATCTATACACAAGAGGGTATCCCCTCACAGAAGGGTCACAAGGACGGGATGAGCTAACCAGGGCGCACTATAGCACCAATGAAACACGCAATATTCCTCCGATTCTTTGACGCTTCCTCACCCCCACTATCATGACCCCAGTCCTGCCTTTCAGTTCTGGCTAGACCAGAGCATGTACACCGGTACAGATAAGAGCTCAGGAGACGCGGGATCCAGGTCAGATAAACTCCCCAGGTACAGAAATGGGAGTAGTGATACCAGGAGGGTAGGGGGAAGGTGGGGGAGAGGATGGGAAGAAGGGGGACTGATCACAATGATTGATGCATAATTCCCGCCCCTCTCCAGGGGGATGAACAACAGACATGGGTGAAGGGAGCCAGCGGTATGTGTAAGATATGAAAACAATAATAATTTATAATTTATCAAGGGGTCATGAGGGGGAGCAAGTGGAGGAGGGAGGAAATAAAAAAGAAACTGATACCAAGGGCTCAAATAGAAAAATAAATGCTTAGAAAATGATGGCAACATATGTACAAATATACTTGATACAATTGATGTATGGATTATTATATGAGCTGTACGAGCCCCCAATAGAATGCTTATAAATAAATAAATGAAAGGTGGAGCAGGGAAATCCCAAAACAAACAAACAAAAAGTTAATGTATTCAGGGCAGTAAGAATGTCATGAAGGTAAAATTAAACCGCTGCATTTTCACATACAGTGCACCCACATAAATCACATGTATATACATATAACATGCACAGTGCCTACAGGAGACTAATGTGAGCGGGTTGCATGGTTTGCAGAAACTCTTATCATGTGTATATTATTTGCACTGAATAATAATAGTACTTTCATTTTCACTAGAAACTTCATGAGCACCAGAATTATGTCACTGT